CTCATCTTTTTAAGTGGGAGAACTTGCACAATTGGTGGCTGACTAAATACTTTTTTGCCCCACTGTAAATGCAGCCACAGCAACCTACCATACAAGCACTCATCTTCCATGTAGGAAATGTAGGGAACTGTGAAACAGCTAGATCTACCATAAAAATGTGTCTGGTACATTCCTGTTACATTTCAGAAAATTGTATATTATTGGTATTGAAAAATGGTGTAATAAATTATTTTACATACCACCCTAGGTATTTTTATTTGAAATGCTCTTTAATAAATTTCTAAGCAGACACGCTTAAAACTATATCCTTAAAATACACATCAGTTAATGCAAAATCATTCTTAAGTGCCTCATGAGTCAACAATTATATCGGCTGACTAAATTAACCTGAGTTCGCACAACGCACGGTCCTGTCAATAACCACCTTAGGGTCTTGTGAGAACTCACGGTGTATCCATATTCATGCGGGATGCCCGCCTCTGAATGCAGAGAAATTGAAGAGAGAGAAACGCGCCTCACGGCCGGTTCCTTGGAGGCAGGAGCCCAATTTTTATTACCGCCTAAATCTGCTGATTCGGGGGGGAAGAAACACTGCTTCCCCCCTGCCGCCTCCCCCTAACTGAAGGGAAAAGGCTAATTTCGAGCGTAGGATCGAGAACCTCGCGGGGAAAATAAGGGCATTGCCTTCCACTACCTGCTGTCCGTCTCCTGAGCGGCCCGGGCTGCCTGCGCTCCCGCGCTTCATCCCAGCAGACGAGGGGCAGAGAACGCCCTCTCTTTTCAGCCTCGCTCCGCAGCCACGTGACACTCATCTTGTGGCGGGGGAACTCTCGAAAGTCTCTGGGCATTATAACCCTTTTGCTGCTCTATATTCTTGTCTCGATGGTAGAAAGTCAGACTCCTGCGTTGGAAGTTGGAATTGGTAACCCTACAGTAAAGCTTTACTCCTGATCACCGATTTGGTTCGGTCTCGGTCTCCTAGTTTTGGAGAGGTGATAACTAAATGTAACCCCGTGAGAACATGTCAAGCTCAATGTGTAACTATATTTTTCTTTGCTGAAACCAGCATCTTTTAAGGTAATACAGACCTTTCAAATTAGGCGTGTTTCAGCTATGTTGAACCGTCATTCCCTCCAAAAATGAAGCTAAAAGAATAACACTTTGAAGGCAGCAGTGTAATCCCCTATCAAAAAGCACATTGTTAACTAAAGGAGTTTAGTTATATACAGGGTCATAAAAAACCCTGTATATACCACCAGTTTCACAGTTCTGCAATGTAACTACATCTTAGTGTTACAGGCTGAGTTTGCACAAAACAGCATAAAGTAACACTCTGGCTAGGTTTGCACAATATGCTCAGCTCAGTGCTGTTGGCTACTTGTGGTTCAATTGTGCAAACCCAGTAGTTAAAGAGTCAGTAGGCTCAGCCCTCTGATAGACAAAGGGCTCATCCACATAGCTGCTTTGCTGTGCTTTCCTCCTATCTCAGAGCTGCGAGGGGATCACATTGGCCCTAATCATAGCACCCCACAATGAGTCTGGAACTGGGTGTGCTACTCTCCACCCATCTCTGCTGCGTGGCACTGTAAAGTTAGTGATAGGTGGTTTCTGTAGCTGAAATTCTAATCTCATGCAACATCAACTGCAGGAAAAGCTGCCATCAGCCACCACACAGAATGCGGGTCAGTGCAGCGCTTGTACAAACCAACTACTCTGTCTCTTTTTTTTTGCCAAAGGATTATTTACCAACTAACCATTAGACAAGAGCAAAGAGTTGTGTGTTTTCTGTTTCTCTTAGCTACAACTAATGGTTGTCTAGATTTCGGTAGTCCAAATGCAGTGTTGTTGATGAACCTGGTTCATGGGAAAAAGGTGTTAAGGTGTGGAAAACAGTCAGTTATTTTTACTATTATACAGGGCAGCAACCATTCTGTA